GATAATTGGAAAATCATTAGTATATTTTATTTGGTGTATTCCAGTGTTCTAACCCATGTTTACTCTCTAAAAATAATTTCGTGTTAAGCTGCTTTTCTCACCAGTTTTACATAGATAATAGCTTCTAACTGGCACATAATAAGTAAATATGTCCCACCCCTAATATACACTAAAATATATTCATATGCCGATATTGGTATTACATGCATAAAAGCACAAATTAATGCCGCCAAAATATTTATGTATGCAGATAAATTTCTGTGTAAAACCTGCTTCAAACATATCAATTACGAAAACGTTAACCCGACAGCATGATTTTCGTAATTCGAATTGAATAAAAAATATTGGAGCTTATGAATATTTAATAAATAATTTGACAAGCGCATAATGTATGTACAGTGGGTCAAACAGACTAACAACCTCAAAATGGTAGTCGAAACACAACACTGTAGTCATTGGTCGCCAAGTTCTTAAATCCAGATATATTATTACAAATTTTTGGTTAAAATTCAACAACGAATTGTTTGTAAAATTTTACTCAAATATTTTCGAATTGAAAAAAATATATATAATATATACAGATTAAAATAATTTTGAAGAAAGAAAAGTTTATAGAAGACAGAAAAGAGTGGCATAGAAGTTTTCTCAAGAAATAATATTTTTTTTGCTCAAAAATAATTGTAAACAGCCCACTGTGCGTCAGCGTGCTCAGCGTGCCCTACATACTTTTTGGGCGGTTATGCATTTCGTGATGTACATGCGTTATGAAAAATATGCATTTTTATTATCACAAATTTGTATCTTTGCAAGGGATACATAATAACGGGCATATACTTGGTTATAACTGCCTTGATTCAGTTGCAGCCTACCAAATAATTTGTAATATTAACGCGCGTGCGCGCCTGTCCTTTTAAACACTCCAGCCATACGAGGCAAGTGCGCCATCATATTCCCTACCCATGTGACTAGAGGCTACTTGCGTTGCACTGAATTTATGTGCGTTTGTATGTTTTGATAAAACAACCATGACGATGTGGAACGATGATGGAAGTGGCAGTTAAGGTGCCAGCACCGTTGTTGTAAAAAATAAGCGAGTCTCATTACCACAATTTCGGCATTATTGATGCCTCCAAGTATGTTATTAAGTTTAAATTCTTATTACACCCATCGTTTAATAATTTTTTGCGTTGCCTCTTTCAGTTTTGTTAGTGGATTTTTAATAGTTTTTCCACATGACAGTTAGTAAGTATTTATGTATGGAATTTTTTATACACCTTTAGTTGGTTTCTCATAACTTGTTTTGCCGCAAGTTGTTTTATAAAAATTCTCATACAAAATTTCTTTATTTACATATAAAATAAAGTTGTGTCCTTATTTGTATGTGTCCATTATAATACCCTGTAGGAATAATAAGTCTTATGAAAGAACTAATATAGTCTCTATATTATTGATTACTATTAGTTCGGCTTTCCTTTTTTGATCTGGCAACTAACCGCCTCGCCTACATTATGCGCTTATTATTTTGCTCCAAATCTTGGAACCGAAACCCAACCTATTTGTTCGTTTCATAAGACATTGGAACACTACACTTGGTTTGGTTGTTGTTGTGCTGGTATAAAATATTACCGAAATACTTTTTGTAAAAGCTGCCGAGATATTCCTAGTTGGATATAAATTCGGATACGCTCGAGTATCGTATTGCCGATTGTTGTAACCACGGACTTTATTCTTCAATATATCCTTATAGATACTAATGGATCCTAGGACTACGCTTGCATAATCTTTTTTTTTTTTAATTTTGAACTTATTTGTATCTCATTTGGAGTATTTTACAAAAACAATTTCTTCATACACGATACCCTAGTTAAGTTTATCACTTTGTTCGTTCACCTTCCAATGTATTTGTTCATCAGGTTGATGGGGTTCAGCCAAAAGCGAAAAATATCCTTAAGCAAATTTTTGTAAAAACCATAAGCTTTTGAAGCAAACTACGTTTCATAGCAAAAACTCCGGAACCTTCTACGTTTAGCACAGACGGAAATTAGTAACATTTTAGGGTTCAACACAGGCCTCTTACAACTGAGATCTCACCTTCAGAAACTTGTTAAAGAAGAAACTTAGTGAAGTAAAGCGGAATCGACAGAATGTAGAAGACGTACGCAGAATGATGAGACGATAGAACATTAACTTTGTGAATCTTCAGCCTTCAGTCGGTTGAAACGGAATATATTATATTTCACAGCTCTCAATACTCAAATTTAAAAGAAAGTTGTAAAAAAATTAGAATTGTATCAGATCAGAGTTGGTGTATTATGAAATTCTTTTTAAAACTTGTGCTATCTGTTCCATGATGATAGCTCCAATATGAATAACTATTTTTAAAAAAAGATAAATTCATACTATGAACATTGATGGCTTGAACCTTGGATGTTGTTAGAGGTGGTCCTTGAAAACTGTGTGCTGAATGAAGGACAAAGCTTTTCAACAACTATGTACATATATAAATTTTCAATGTTTGGTGCGTAAAAACTTAAGCTGTCTGAAGACTTAGGTTTACTGAAATCATCATATAAGTGAATAAGTGAGTTGTTGTAATATCATGACAAAGATCAAAGGCGAGGAAATACTTCCAGATATTTGCAAAACTTTATCGAATATATAAAGTGAGGAGGAAAGTCGAAAATCACTATATAAGGTATATTGGGGCTAGAGAAAGGTGTGGACTGATGAGCATTAACTTTTGGCATTACTCAAATATACTGGAAACATGTTTCCACGCTATTTTATGAAGATAACTCACACACTGACCAACATAACGAAAGTATGTAGTATATGTGAGCAAGTATATATTCAATATTATACGCTCACTTAATTTTCCTAAGATAGCTTTCATATTGACCGATATTTACGGTGCAAAGCCAACCAGAAGTTTGAAATTCTAGTATATTGGGTTGACATGTACCCGATTTTATGCAGTTAGTCATATCATTACCAGAAAAATGTGTTCGCTGAGTTTCATTGAGATACCTTACGGACTACGGACTGGCCCATTTAATATCGGTGTAAGGTGCACCGGATGCTGGAAAATTCCTATATTTGTTATATTGGGGCTAGGAGAAGTATTATCCCGGTTTTATCCTTTTTAAGCACAAGGATACACTATTTTCGGAAAGAGACCCTCTTTAAATTTCAGTCTCATATATTGACCAATATATGCGGTATAAAGTCAACCGGAAGTTTGAAAATCCTTTGAACGGGTATATGGGGACTGGAGAAAGTACTGACACGATTTTACCTTTTTTTTTTTTAAATATGAGCATACTTTTATCTTAAAAGAATTCTCTCTGAATATTACAGATCACGGATTGACCGATATTTCCGGTAAAAGCTCAGCCGAAGGCTGTGGGGTTCACATATTCGGTATCTGTGGTCTTGAAAAATTATGATCTGGTTTCGATAATTTTTAGACGTGAAATTGTAAGCTTTAAAGACACTATTTCCGCAAAGTTTTGTTTCGATAATGTCATTGGCTCTCGATTTATACACTGTACTGTTAAAGAATTCGATGGAATTCAAAATTGCGATATATAGGAAGAGGCGTGATTGTCGTTCAATTTCGCTTATTTTGACAATGTAATATAAAAATGTGAAACTTATTTTACGCACAAAATTTAGATGAAATTGGTCGAGCAATTACCGAGATATAATATTTATGATGGGTGGTTCCATGCCCATTGTCCAATTTTGACACCAAAAATTTAGTGCTTTTGACGTATTTATTTAGTGAATTATCACACCTTTAGTAGTCTTCAACAAAACCGTTATATCGGTAGGAGTCGGCGTTATCTTTCGATTATATTCCACACTGACTGAGCAGATGCTGCAAAGATTTACCCCGAACAAGTTTGCTTATTGAAGTTTTAGTGAGTTTGTGACATACATACAAGTATGTACATTAAACTTGTTAAGAGAGTGACCAAGAAAAATTTTCAAAAAGACATCCTGATCGTTTATATTTATATATTAGTTAAAGGTGTAAATGGTAAAAGGATGAATTCTATACTTTAATCCTCAAATACAAGCGTATTTATCGTATTTATAATTATGAGCAGCAGAAACTATTAACCTCTTCATTTGCTCATCTCTTTCTAAAAAAGATGGATCAAAGAACTTTAAAAGCTGCAAAAATTGCGAAAAAAAAACCAAAATTCGTGAATTCAAGACGAACTTAATAGGACAATAACTGCAAGCTGCATATACTCATATATCAAAAACATAAATATATGCATGTATGTAGATATGTTTGCCTGCATATAACCCAGGGCAGCTAGGCAATAACACCATCAACGTCGCCGGTGATGGATATGCCATGCTGCAACACTCGCGTGCAACGCTTCCGATTACAAGCAACACTCAAGGGACAAGCGTGTGCAAGCGATGGTCAACATCCAAGCAAAAAAGTTTATACATGCACGTATAAACGTGTGTGTGTGTGTGTATTTGTGTTTGCGGTGTGGCGTCTCTGATGCAACGATTGTGATGCGAGTGGACGTCAATGTCCTCTGGCCCTTTTAATATATATTCCACTGCGGGATATAAAAACCTATATCCGCCTGCACCGCCTACAGTTGCAATCACACACTTTTATGTATATGTGCGTGTTTGTGTGTATGAGTGCTTGTTGTCAAGCCATAATTCTTTGATGTGCTTCTGTCACCACACCACCGTCCCGCTGCAATTCGCTTTACTTCATCACATACATGTACATATGTATATCCATACATACACACCTACTTATGGCAATAGTAGTATCTTGATCGTGCGCCCTCACCCCTGTGCCAGCAGTGCGCGCAGTGCAAGCTGTCCCAACACTAACGGTTTAAGGGTCAATAACACTTTTTAGTGGCGAAACATTTGTTAACGAGCCGGCAAATGCACGCATAAACGCATTTACAACAATGACAACAACAACAGTAATAACAATAGTAAGAAATTCTCACAATTTATGCAGCAAGCTGCAGCGACCCTCATGTCGCAGCGTGGGTGCGGGTTGGTGCCAGCGTCTTTTTTTTTTGTTGTTTTTTGTTTTGGTCGTTTCACTCAAGTCGCATTCAGCTGATTCGCTGTTTTATGTTACATTCGTTTTCGGTTTCGGTTTTTTTGTTTTGGGTTTCGGCTTTGGAATTCATTAGCTTGTTGGCTGGCCTTTTGGCGTTTTTCATAATGCCCTGTGCCATGTTTGCAGATTTCTGATTGCTTTCTTAATTTCGCGTAACTCTCTTGCAGGCGTTGTTGTTGTTGTTTATTTTCTCTTTTCCCTCACCGCTGCAATATCCATTTCAGCATTTGCGGTACTTTTTTCGAAACTCATTTTTAATAAAGATACTGTATCGTCGGGTTTAAGCGCTTAATGATGCACGCATTGCTGTGATGCCTACTAAAGTGCTCAGTCCCCTGCCTCGACCACATTGTACAATACAAGCAATTCGTGAATTATGACGCATTTGCTTGTGCAAATGTCTCTTTGGCATTCGTAGCTGGTAGGATTCTGTTGGTCGTGTCTTTATGCCTTTGAGTTGCTCATTTTGTTGTGACGCACAATTACAAAACGAATAAGAGCCAACAGCGCAATTTATCAGCAGCTAGGGCCAGCGATGTGCCCAATTGGCTTTTACACGCGTTTTTGTAATGCAGGTGGGGAGCGCCAAAGAAAAAGAATCAAAATATTGCAGGTCTCATGCATTTCGATGCGGTGTGACGCGCTGCCTGCCTTTCACGTTGCCGAAATTTGGGACAGTTCTGAAATTAAAAATGAATTATGTATAAGTGTATATCTATATAGTTTGTATGTATATGCATATATTTATAGGTGTGTGTATATACCTGACAGCCAGCGCAGGGATTTTCGCTCAAAATACCCTTATATATACAATATATTATATATAGTTTTGATTTGAGCTGGCACAAAGCTCCTTTGTAAATTCAAATTAAAGAATTATAAATTGTGTGATTACACGCCTATTAGCCATTATCGCATTATCAATTAGTTTTATGCGATTTTATTTATTCAAGCAGATTCCAACTTAATTGATAAGGTAATGTGAATTCGCATAAAATCAGTTAAATATTTTGTATGCATAATAATAAATTAGATTCACCGCTTCATCAGCTTTATAAGTTATGTTAAGAACCTTAACTTGGCTTTCAGTATATATGATTTATGTATAACCGGCTGACTCAATGTACACTTTTTAGTTTCAGGAGTAATGGTGAAGGTTCTACTAAACAGAAGATATGAGTTTCTTCACTATTGTAACCCATTAATTTTTTTTTTTTAAGATATCTTGTTAAGTAAGATCATAAAAGCTTTCAGAGAGGTCAAGCAACAGTTCTCAAGCGATAAGCATACAAACGCTGCTCTGTGTTCAAAAGCTCTCTAGACTCGTGTTATTTCTATCTCTAAATGTATAAAGTAGAAATGGTACCATCCATCTGGTCATGCTCTCAGGAAACTTTGCACTTCGGCTAATACTCCAAATGTGGCGTTAGTTAGATTTATGAGGTGTTAAAAAAATAAATCCTTTATGTTTCCATTGTTGGATTAAGTAATCCGTGTAACGTGTTGTATAGATGCGATCGGGTTAAGCTATATGACGTTACACAGCTAAGATTTTATACTTAAAAATTTTCCAGATAGTTTTGTTATTGTTAGAGTATGCGTCAAAGATGGATACCAGCAGATAAAATATTCACAATATTTTTTTTTCGATAAATGCGAAACCGCAAGCCAAATATAATATATGTTTATGATCCTGATACCGTAACAGCTATTTTGGTTTCGTTGATTTCCTTCAAGTAACTTTTATCTCAAAGATGGTTTGGAAGAAGAAGATTTGAGTTCCATCAGGACAGCGCTAGGTCACACACATCGACAATAACTTGCCAGAAGTTTCTGAAGCTTGGTTTGGTGGTTCTTATGCATTTGTCCTTTAGTCCAGACCTGGCACCAAGTGATTATTACCTGTTCCTGTCTATGGCGTATGATTTTGGTGGTGAAAATTCACATCAAGAGAAGCTTGTAAAAATCGCATATCACAGTTTTTTTGCCAATGGGGTCGAAGGTTTGTATAAGAGTGTGAGTCATGGAATAAAACTGTGCATATTTTACCTAAATCGGATCATTTTAACTATGTTACATAAAACCTTAAATTTAATTCAAAAATAATGGATTTCTAATTACTAAACTTTCTAGCTTACTTAATTAAAACTAGACTAGGTTGCCAAATGGATTCTGGTATCCCAACTTGGAAGGCATTTGAAGTGTTCGGATGATAGCAGAACAATGTAGAGAACTTATATGAATTGGTAAGTTCAAGCATTCGTATTTCGGATGAAGCTCCGCACAGCTGTGAACTCAGTATAAATTAAGCTTATGTGTCAATAGCAAGAGTTAAGGAAGTAGAAAATTTTAAATATTCGAATGACTTTTTGTTATTAAATCTCAAATTTCGATTATGACAATAAAAAAAGAATTCAATATTTTCTTATATCGACCTTAAAAAAACACAAGCAATCTACTTCATCTTATATACTAAGGTGGTCCAATAACTATTTCGCCTACAAAAGAAAAATGAAAATTTTGGTAAAATAGCAATTTATTTTTCGACCCTATCTCCTTTTAGCACTACAAAATTGACCCAGTAATTCTCCAACTTCCTTAACCCGCTTTCTGTGCCTAAGTTATTATCCGGCCGCTCTTGCGTTATTTTAGAGAGAACAAACTTTAAACTTGCATTACCAACAATGTACAAAATTTATTATATAATAAGAAAAATATAATGGAAAATAATTGTCTAAAGTTTTAAAAAGACTCCGAATTTGTATTTGCAAACTGTGGGAAAAATTGTGAATTTTCGCAATACCGAGAACAAGCTATAATCATTTCGATGTGTTCGTTCGCTTGAGCCATATTTGCATTCATTACTAATTTTGTTAATGCAATTGATTGCAATTTGAAATGAAAATTGCCAATATATATTATCATTAAAACGTATGTAAGTACCGTTCTAATCTCCTTTACACGCTCAAAATTTGCCACTAAAATGAGCCGCACCCGAAAGCGAAAATTGCAATATCGAACCGCTGATATGCAAACGGAAAATTGCATTGCAACAGTTATTTAAAACGAGTAACTGGTTGCATTGTACGAAATTGAGTTTGTGGTAATTTTTCATGCTTTAATTTCTGTGGAAAATTCTAATGGCTAATATTTTAAGACGCCATGGTCGAAACTCGTCTATTGAAATTCTATCACGCAAAACTAATTTGTGCACAGTGGGTGATTTTGATTAAAAACACGAGAAAATAAGTCGGTGTGTTATAGACGTAGACACATATTTCTGATTATATCAAATGATATTTTTTCCAATCATCTTACCAAGTTTGCAGTTTTTAAAATATGAAACAGCCTCTCTGAGCCACAAAGAGAGAATATTAGGGAACAGTTTATATTCTAACTGAAGTAGTTTTAATCGGCGACGGTCAACCCGCTTCTAAATGTCAGAAAGCACTTTTATGCAACAAAATCTCAATTTTTATCAAACCAATGCCGTCAAAAATGCAAAACAATACTCAACAAGTGACGCATTGAATTGAATTTCAACCCATACATAATAAATAATAGTTATAGAGAAAATCTATTTTAATAGTATTTACGCAGTCGGTGTCAAATCTCCAAGCGTAATTCTAATATTCGAAAAACGCTGTCAATCAGCTGTCAGATTTTGGTGACTTGCTTTTGCCACGTCAGAAAAAAAATTTTCGCAGACAAACTACTATGAACTTAGTGCTATAAGAACTCTACCGATTCCATAAAGGATAATGGCAATCAGCTTTCTTCCTTTATTGTGTAATTATTAATTTCATTATTAAAATTTAAAGTGAATGAATTATACCAAAAATCAAGCCATTATAAAATATGGTGGAGTGGAGCTCAGCTATTCCTGAACTAACCGAGGTCCCGATATGCCAGCAATCAGTTATCAATGAATATATATATTTCGTCTTAATTTCGTATTTTAATGTGAATTACACTGTGCAACGCATTAAGCGACAGCGGCACGCAGCACACTGTCTGGCAATTGACAAGCGTACGTTCGTCTGAAAGCTAACCAAGCTAAGAAGCCATTCGAGTCGACAATGCACTCCATCACTTTGACCAATCAACACGTCCAAATGCTTTGATTAAATTAAAAACTATATGTTATATTCAATAAAGTAAAATAAGACTGAATAAAACAAAACCAAAAGATTGAATACCTTTTGCTGAAAGTTGAAGTGGAAATACATGTGTATATACAATATATACACATAGATAACTATATACCATATATACATGTGGCATATCGAAAAAAAAAAATCGAAAAGTACGCACCGAGAGCATGTGCGGTTTTCAAATTAATTTCAAAGTTTGTCGACCGTATGTGGCCTTAGAGTCGGTGTGCGTCCATTTCTAAGTTAGTTTGCAACGTACAACATTAACAACATACTCATATACTTACATATGTATGTATATCGACCCTGCAGGGAAATGCAATACACAAAATTGGTGCAGTTTTAATATCCTTAGCTCAGTTATTACAGTTATAGAGATCAAGATCTATCTTCCATAATTGTAACTAGCAATTCGACAAAATGTCTCTGCATGTCTGTTATATACAGTTTTCGAACTAGTAAGAAGTAGTCGAAAACTGCAACTTAGCTAATCGGATTAATATTAGCTTCCTATTTAACAAAATATCGCTATGTAGCTCCTGATTATTGTTCTCTGATCGCTGCGATTTTTCCTGCTGTGCATGTTTGAATATGTAAATTTGGTCATGCATATGTATTTGTTTCGGCTACCGACATAAGTTGACAAAGTTGATTGGGTTTCTTTGAAAGTGGTTTGGTCGGCAATCGATTTGGCCTTGTTATGCCGCTGCCACAAATCAATGGGAAGCCCACAAATAACTTTGTTTCGAAATTATCTGTTTAATTGCCTAAAATATGCAATCAAATGTGCTACTCACTAATATTTGGAAGGAGTAAACTTTTATTTGTAATAAATTTATATTTTCATTTCGGAGAGCATTTATGCATTGCTTGCCAACAGTGGGTCCCTACTTTTACGAGTGTTGAATTTACCGATATCAATTGTGAGGCCAATAGCCAAAAATAATTTTTATGAACACATATATGGCAGTTATCTCCATAAAGCTGTCATAGATGTGTTCCAAGTAAAAATTATTATTGGCTGTTATTACAATACCTTTTTTTTATATTAACGTGGCAATCCACAAAAATTTCGATCTAATTCCACTTTTGTTGAGTTGCCACATGCCTTAACCTTCATTACCCCTTGCTTAACTCATGTTGTACGAGTACGGTAATTTTGAAAAATACTGTTGAGTTTACAGTACTTGGCCAGAAAAAATTCGAGTTCGTTCTGGTTAAGGAGTTAACATTATGGAATCGAAATTTTGATGTAGATGGTGATGGCCTTTAGAAAAACGAAAGTCTTATATGAGCTTTTAGATGCTAGCCTAGAACTTCATCGGCAAATTTTTTGGGCTCTCAAAGCTTTGACTCTTCGAATAATCTTTAATTTCATAAGCTCCTTAGAAAGACTCTCGCAATAGATGGGTGCGATTTCCAACTAGTGACAAATAAAAAGAAAAAAATATTACTAAGTTGAAATTATTATCTATGCAAATATCTCAAAAGCATGTTTATTAATTTCCTCAAAAATTAGTATCAAATT